AAGGTACAATGTCTCAATTCTTAACTTATAAGCATTAGGTGCTCACAACCTTCATCTCATATCTTGTAAAGTTTTGAAAAATATTATTGTATGATTCACTTTTAAATATGAATTTTAACATAGTAAATTTTTGGATTTTTTTAGGGAAATTCGTTTCCCTTTTGAGGAAATTTGTTTACTTCCTCCCTGCCAAAATATGCCCAAACGTTTTTGTGAAAAATCATGAAAGAAATCGATTCCCCCATTTGTCTAAATATGTTTTAATTATGCTATTTTTAAAGAGGAAATATGTTTCCCTTTTTTGGTAAACATGTTTCCTCTGTACAAAATTTCAAATTTCTATACGTTGTAAGAAAGGTAAACCTATTTCCCTTTTTGGTAAACATGTTTTAAGTATGGAAAGCCGTTGTCGAAGGTCCTCACGTTATGTGTTGTTAATGGTATTAGCACTCCAAAGCCCGAAGATTCATGGGATAAAGATGATGAAGTAAAAGTTCTTTATGATAAGAAAGCAATACATCTTCTTCAGGGTGCTCTTAGCATGGACGGATTATTTCGAGTTTCAACATGCACAACAACGAAGGAAATTTTGGATACATTGGTGGAAACTCACGAATGAACCACTGTAGTTAAAACATCGAGATTAATTACATTGAGTCAAGAGTACGAATTATTCAGAATGCATCCCCGAGAATCAATCATTGACTTGCTGAAAAGATTCGTGCATTTGACAAATCATTTGAAAGCACTCAGTAATATTTTAACAAATAAACTTAATCTTAAAGTGTTTAGATATTTAACCAGGAAATGACAACCAAAAGTGACGATAATATCAAAGAAAAATAATCTATCCACAATGTCTTCCGCAACTTTGTTCGGAAAACTTCAAGAATATGAAACAGAACTTGCAAGACTTGAAAAACATGAAATCCAAGTAAAAGATTCAAAAAACATTTCTTTAAAGACAAGGATAAAAAAATCATGATAGCAATCAAGAGGATGAATCCATTAGTAGTGAAGATGATGATCTTATCAAGAAGATTTAAAAGGTCCTACAAAAAGAAAGAAAAAGGGAAGCACCAACAAGGAAGGTTACATGCTTTAAATGTTGAGAAAATGGACATGATAAAAGTGAATATCCTACACTTGAAAATAAGAAGAAATATTTCAATATAAATAAAGATAAGAAGTCAAACAAATATTTTCAAACACTTTGTACGCATTCTTGAAGACTGATACAATAATCATTACAAAGTCCGCTTTACATTGGCATTTTCAAAAATATTTGAAAATCACACACACAAAGCAAATTTTCAAAGTGAGCTAAGCGATTAAGATCCCATAGATAACTACAGATGGAAAGGGTGCTAACACCTTCCCTTTTCATAACCTAACCCCCAACTCAAAATCTTCAAGGTGTTTCCTGTTCTTTTCACCCTTTCCTTATTTCATAAAAGAAAAGTCGGTGGCGTCTCTTGCCATCCGTAACATTTGCGATAAAACGCAAAACAAGTCAGTTCTTCAGTTCTCCCACTGTATTACAGTTTGACAAGTCTTCTGAATCCCTTGTAGACTGAGGAGCATAGGTGGGCATTTCCTATTCTATTGACATATTCATTTCTTGAATATTGAAAATAGAGATGCAAATAATATTTTGATTGATAATTTTGTGATACAGATAGGTGGAATAAGGTTTGAACTGAAGATTTGAGAAATAGAATGTTTGAATAGTGCAATATGTAATGGGATTTAAATAGCGCATAACTTTGGAGATGTCAAGGCTTTGTAATGATGTTTTTAGTTTTTCATACATTGATAAATAAAGAGGGAAAAAACTATCTGTTGAATGCACCCACCTTACTAATTGCCACAATTTCTTAGCAATGTAAACTTCACCCATTTTCCTTTTAAGTTGAATTAACACCATCACCTTGGTAAAACTTTTGTAAGATTTTTCCACATCATAACATTCCTAACGCCAACAACTTTGTTCCTTATTAGATCATTGATGGGGACTACCACTCAACCTTGTCCTGTTATGTTGAGTAAGAGCATTACCTATATTAGTATTACCCAAATACTCAGAGTTAAATGTCACGACATTCTATCTGAAATTGCATTCCTTCAGAATTTTTTGCTCAACTTGATACCCTTCCAAGTTGTTTTAGGGATATCCTGTGATGTCCATATATGACAATTTTCATCTGTTTTACTTTCTTTTATTTTATTTGGACACCCATTGTCTAAACATTCATCTTTTTATTGATAAAGATGTTAGAGAAAAATGAGCAATGAGACAAATGTTCTCATTTTTTGGAACTCCATTTTATTTTAGTCTTACTCCCTTGACTACCCTCAAGATGAGTGTAATGCTTAGGATAACCATACAAATTGTAGCAGAAAGGCCTTATGTGACCATATTTCTCACAATGATGACATCTCTTGGATCTGATGAAAAGTCTCTGATGTCTCATAGGATGTTGGAACTTTTTGTTTGATATTGTAGCATATTCTCCTTTCCTTGGTTGAGTACAATGTAACTCTAATGTTTTATTAAATCCAATTCCTGTTGAGCTCTCAGCATCGTTGTTAGCTTGAAGAATTTCACCTGATGAACATGTTCCATTGTTTGACATTCTGAAGTATTTGGTCATGTTTTTAAGCTTAGATGCCAGTTAGTAATACTTCATTATAAAGATCAGGAACTTTGATAAGAAGTTTCTTCTTCTTACTAATATTTTTAGAAGACGTGCATCTTCCTGAAAAAGCTTTAACATGCTTGGTAGATTCAATATCGGAATCCCTCTCAGTCAAGATACAAACATTCCTTTATGTTGTTTCTTGAAGTATGTTGGAAACTCTGCTCTAATGTGTCCAAAACCTTTACATTCATTACACTGAATGCCTTTGCCTTGAGTTGACTATTCTTCAATTCTTGCTTTCCTCTGAGATTCAAGGTTATTACTGATATCATATGATATATTCTTGACATGTTGTATTTCTCTTCTGTCCATTCTCTTAAATATTCTATTGAATTTCTTTCCAAGTAATACAATGGTATTGGACAGTCCTTCATTGGCATCCAGACCGACTTGACCCTTTTCATCTTTAGTATTAGAAATAAAAGTCATGCTCTTGTTCTTTTTCTCATAATTGTCCCTAATATCCAATTCAAAAGTTTGAAGTGACTCAACAAGTTCATCAACTCTCATGTTGTTGAAGTCTTGAGATTCTTCAATAGTTGTTACCTTCATGTCAAATTTCCTAGGTAAAGACCTATGAATCTTTCTAACCAGCTTTTTATCTGACATCTTTTCTCCCAAGGCACTAGATGTATTAGTTATTTCAAGAACCTTCATACGATAGTCCTGGATGGTCTCATCATCATTCATATTTAGATTATCAAATTTAGTAGTGAGAAGTTGGAGTCTTAACATATTCACTTTAGATGTACCTTCATGAGTTATCTTGAGAATTTCCCAAGCCTGCTTGGCTACAGTACATGTATTAATCAGTCTGAAAATATTCTTGTCTACTCCATTGAATGGAGAATTCAAAGCTTGGAATTTCCAAAAACCAATTTATCATCCTCATCATACCAATCTTCATCTAGTTTCAAAGACACATTCATATCTTTGTCCTTATTAATAGGATGATCCCATCGTTTTAAAACAGCCTTCCAAGCTTTGTTGTCCATAGATTTTAGAAAATCCACCATTCTAACCTTCCACCAATTATGATTTGAGCCATCTAACAGAGGTTGTCTGTTGTTGTATCCTTGTTCTTTATCCATAATACCAAAAAATATTCTCCCTGGAGCTCACCCCAAAATTTGTACACTCCTTCTTTGTCCATAGTTTTCTACTAAAATCGTCGATAATAGTGACGAAGTTCCTATTGCCACCACATGAATCAACTTTCATAGGCCCACACACATCATAAAACACCACCTCAAGACGATGCATGGTTCTATAACTTGCACCCTTGCTGAATTTACCCTTCTTGCTTTTCTTTCACACACTCTTCACAAATCTCAGCTAGAATGTTGATGGATGGAAACCCGGTTACCATTCCGTTC